CTTTCTGGCTTACTTCGCTCTGTATAATGGGCTCCAGTTTCATCCATCTCATTAGAACTGATTCAAATGAATTCTTTTTAATGGCTGAGTAGTATTCCATGGTATATATGTACCACAGCTTCCTCATCCATTCGTCTGCTGATGGGCATCTAGGTTGCTTCCATGTCCTGGCTATTATAAACAGTGCTGCGATGAACATTGGGGTGCACGTGTCTCTTTCAGATCTGGTTTCCTCTGTGTGTATGCCCAGAAGGGGGATTGCTGGGTCATATGGCAGTTCTGTTTCCAGCTTTTTAAGAAATCTCCACACTGTTTTCCATAGCAGCTGTACTAGTTTGCATTCCCACCAACAGTGTAAGAGGGTTCCCTTTTCTCCACACCCTCTCCAGCATTTATTGCTTGTAGACTTTTGGATAGCAGCCATCCTGACTGGCGTGTAATGGTACCTCATTGTGGTTTTGATTTGCATTTCTCTGATAGTGAGTGATGTTGAGCATCTTTTCATGTGTTTGTTAGCCATCTGTATGTCTTCCTTGGAGAAATGTCTGTTTAGTTCTTTGGCCCATTTTTTGATTGGGTCATTTATTTTTCTGGAGTTGAGCTGGAGGAGTTGCTTGTATATTTTTGAGATTAATCCTTTGTCTGTTGCTTTATTTGCTATTATTTTCTCCCAGTCTGAGGGCTGTCTTTTCACCTTGCTTATAGTTTCCTTTGCTGTGCAAAAGCTTTTAAGTTTCATTAGGTCCCATTTGTTTATTTTTGCTTTTATTTCTAAAATTCTGGGATGTGGGTCATAGAGGATCCTGCTGTGATTTATGTTGGAGAGTGTTTTGCCTATGTTCTCCTCTAGGAGTTTTATAGTTTCTGGTCTTACATTTAGATCTTTAATCCATTTTGAGTTTATTTTTGTGTATGGTGTTAGAAAGTGTTCTAGTTTCATTCTTTTACAGGTGGTTGACCAGTTTTCCCAGCACCACTTGTTAAAGAGGTTGTCTTTTTTCCATTGTATATCCTTGCCTCCTTTGTCGAAGATAAGGTGACCATAGGTTCGTGGATTTATCTCTGGGCTTTCTATTCTGTTCCATTGATCTATATTTCTGTCTTTGTGCCAGTACCATACTGTCTTGATGACTGTGGCTTTGTAGTAGAGCCTGAAGTCAGGCAGATTGATCCCTCCAGTTCCATTCTTCTTTCTCAAGATTACTTTGGCTATTCGAGGTTTTTTGTATTTCCATACAAATTGTGAAATTATTTGTTCTAGTTCTGTGAAAAATACCGTTGGTAGTTTGATAGGGATTGCATTGAATTTATAGATTGCTTTGGGTAGTATAGCCATTTTGACAATATTGATTCTTCCAATCCATGAACAAGGTATATTTCTCCATCTGTTTGTGTCCTCTTTGATTTCTTTCATCAGTGTTTTATAGTTTTCTATGTATAGGTCTTTTGTTTCTTTAGGTAGATATGCTCCTAAGTATTTTATTATTTTTGTTGCAATGGTGAATGGTATTGTTTCCTTAATTTCTCTTTCTGTTTTCTCATTGTCAGAATTTTTTTGATTCTTTTTAAGGTTTGTTTTTTTTTTTTTTAATCTCTCTTGAGTTTTCTCTTTTGTTCTTTTTCTTGACTTTATCTAATTTTCCTTTAGTTCTTTGAACATCTTTAAGGTGGATGTTTTAAAGTCTTGTTTGAGTTGACCTGCTATCAGTTCTGTTACAGGGACAGTGTCTTTTGATTTTAATTTTTTCCATTTGAATGGGCCATACTTTCCTATTTCTTTATATGCTTTGTGATTTTTGTTGTTGAAAACTGGGCATTTGAAACTGATAATATGGCAACTCTAGAAATCAGATTCTTTTCCCTTCCCAGGGCTTTATGTCTGTGTTATTGTTTTTGTGTTTGGGGTCTGTGTTGAGGATCAGCCTGAAGTATAAATTTTAAGATCTCTAGGTCTTTTATGAGCTTTGCCCTGGGTATGTGCAGTAACTTTGGGATTTTCTCTGTATGTGTAGTTGTTTTGAATGTCATAGTCATTAATGTCTATCTTCTGAAAGGGGAAAAAGAAAACAGTGAAGGGGCAGCCCTTGAAATTTCCTTGAAGTCATTTTAGCTGGTGGGAGAAGGGCTTTGAACAGTTGGCTGGTGAGGGTGCAATGGCATTGGCTGCCCACCTTTTTGTACCTGTTATCAGAAGCAGTCAGAGCACAGATCCCTGATATTTGGAGGGTCCTTTTCCCCACCTGGACTCTCACAGGCTAAGTGCAGGCAGCTCTAGGAGCATGTGCTGGTCGCTGGGGAGTGGGGTGGGGCATGGACAGCTATTGTGGAAAGAGCTGAAATTGATAGAAACGAGCCACAGTTTACTGTTGAAACATCCTCTAGAAGTTGCAAGCATGGATATAAACTCCTTTATTTACCTTTTAAAAAATTTTTATTTATTAAATTTTTATTGTGCTGGACCTCTGTTGCTACCCACAGGCTTCCTCTAGCTGGTGAGCAGGGCCTCCTCTCTAGTTGTGGTTTGTGGGCTTCTCGTCATGGTGGCTTCTCTTGTTGTGGAGCATGGGCTGTGGGTGCCTGGGGTCAGTAGTTGTGACACATGGGCTTAATTGCTCTGAGGTGTGTGGGATCTTCCTGGACCAGGGATTGAACTGGTGTCCCCTGCATTGCTAGGCAGATTCTTGACCACTGGGCTACTAGGGGAGCCCCCTTTTCTTTCCTTATTTCTTGAACATGCTTGTCCACTGTTACATTACTTTGTGTGTTGCTTGTTAAGTCTGATGACAATCTAATTCTCTAATTTGTTTTAATCTTTTAATTATTTTTAAATGAAAGAGATGAATATTTTTAATGATAAAAGGTACAATTCACAAAGATAGCATAAACCATTAAACACCTAACAACAAAGAAACACAGATACATAAAGCAAAAATCAGAACAGATCTAAGGGAAAAGAAAAACACAATCATAGTGACACATATTAGCATTTCTCTGAGTATTTTATCAAGTGCAAAAAAAAGAATAGGCACATCTTGAATAATGTCATTAATAATTATAGTAGATTTCTATTCATATTAATAATTTGATCTTTTTATAAGAAGGCCCTGAAGGTGGTTTTTCTTTATCATTAAATTTAATTTTTATACTGTGATATGTCTTGGACTTGATTTGGGCCAGTTTTTCCAGGTGGTTGGTGGGAGTTCTTTCAGTGTGTTGATTTAGGTCTTTTTTTAATTTCTGGAAAGTTTTTGTTGGTAGTCATTTTAAAAATTAGTTCATTTCTTCCCCAGGCACTTCAAGGTATATGTGTGTTGTATCTTCTTTTCTATATCAGCACTCAATCTTAGATCCTTTTAACTTCTTTCTTTTAAAATTTCTTTATCTTGTTTGTTTCTTGCATTTCTTCTCCTTACTAAATTTTAATCAATTCTATTATTCCTTGGATACTTTGTACTTAGTTTTTATGTTTGAGATGACTTGATCTTTTCTTTTCCTGAATTTAATCATACCTGTTTCACCTTTTTGTTGAATGTATTTTTTTAACATACAATAATGCTTATTAAGAACATTTAGTTCAGTTTAAAGTGGTATGTTACACTTTTGTTCTGATTTGTTTTTGATTTATGAGAAGAATTTTTCTTAGCTGAAATGTGTAGTTTTGCTTTAATGTATAAAGCTGTGCCAGGTCTTAGTTGTGGCACATGCAGTCTTTGAGGGATGTGGGATCTTTAGTTGTGGCTCTAATTTCCTGACCAGGGATTGATCCCGGGCCCCCTTCATTGGGACGGTGGAGTCTTAGCCATTGGACCACCAAGGAAGTCCCTAGATTTGCTTTTAAAAAAAATTCTTACAGTAGCTTTATATGGAATTGGTTTGAATCTTTTTATTTCTTTGCATTTAATTTACAGGTGTCCTAATTCAAAAGCATTCTTCTGTCACTTTAGTGATGTGATGTTTCTTCAATGAAGAAACAGCAGTTGTTACTGCTAACCATGGTGGAGTGGAAAAGGGGTTGTTTTTCTTTTCATTTTTGTGAAATCCTGAACTTTACCCCCTTTTTTTTCTTTTTCTTCACTACCCAGGAACGCTGAAAACTGAGTAAAATCTAGTTTTATATTTTTAAATAAATGTTTAAATAAATAAACATTTCTTTTTAGTTTATGGTTTGGATAAGGTTACCATTATTCTCCAGACCCAAAGTCTATATATAGACTTTCTGAAATTACTACTTTAGTGGTGGTGGTTGTTCAGTTGCTTAGTTGTGTCCGATTCTTTGCAACCCTGTCAACTGTGGCACACTGGGTCTTCCTGTCCCTCACCATTCCATCTCCTGAAGTTTGCCCAAGTTCATGTTCATTGTATCAGTGATGTCATCCAGCCATCTTATCTTCTGACACCCTCTTCTCCTTCTGCCCTCAACCTTTCCCAGCATTAGGGACTTTTTCAGTAAGTTGGCTGTTTTCATCAGATGACCAAAATACTGGAGCTTCAGCTTCAGCATCAGTCCTTCCAACGTGTATTCAGGGTTGTATTTGAGTGGTAGCAAGAAGAATTATCTTAATATTAATGAACTAACTAGTTCTATAAAAGTTCAACTCCTTTTTCATCTTATTTATTTTATGTTTTTTTTTCCCTATTTTTTTTGTCTGTTTTATTTGAGTACTTAGGAACATGCGTTCATGGTTATTGGTTGTTTAAGAATTTACAAGCTATGGATTATTCAGTTGAGGTCTCAACTGTAACACAGCTGTAGGGAGATGGTATTTGAGTCTGTCTCCACTGCTTAATTAGTTTATTATATTTAGCATCACCTCTCTGGAGCCACCATGTAAAAATGAGGTTGAGGAGAACATTTCCCTACTAGAATTACTGAATGAGATCAGCATTGTAAAGCTCTTGAAACATTTAAGTGAATGTTTATTGTTTCAAACACTTGACTCTAAAAGAAGCCTTCCTTGTAGGTGAAAGGTGGAGCCTTTGGTAACGTCTCTGTTTTCTAGGTTGCTGGGGGAGCCAACATAAGCCAGATTTCAGAGGCGCTGAGCTGCTACAGGAATAGGTCGTGTTTCGTGAAGGAAGCCCTCTACAGGCTCTTCACAGAGACATTTTCAACGCAAGTAACCATGCCTGCTATTTTAAAGGTAACTACAACTCAGAAATGTAGTTTTTATAACTACTTATTACTTGATTCAGTTAAAGTTGTTTAAAATTTGGAAAACTCAGCAGTGGCCACAGGACTGGAAAAGGTCAGTTTTCATTCCAGTCCCTAAGAAAGGCAGTGCCAAAGAATGCTCAAACTACTGCACAATTGCACTCATCTCACACGCTAGTAAAATAATGCTCAAAATTCTCCAAGCCAGGCTTCAACAATACGTGAACCGTGAACTTCCAGATGTTCAAGCTGGTTTTAGAAAAGGCAGAGGAACCAGAGATCAAATTGCCAACATCCGCTGGATCATCGAAAAAGCAAGAACGTTCCAGAAAAACATCTATTTCTGCTTTATTGACTATGCCAAAGCCTTTGACTGTGTGGATCACAACAAACTGTGGAAAACTCTTACAGAGGTGAGAATACCAGACCACCTGACCTGCCTCTTGAGAAACCTGTATGCAGGTCAGGAAGCAACAGTTAAAACTGGATATGGAACAACAGACTGGTTCCAAATAGGAAAAGGAGTATGTCAAGGCTGTATATTGTCACCCTGCTTATTTAACTTATATGCAGAGTACATCATAAGAAACGCTGGGCTGGATGAAGCACAAGCTGAAGTCAAGATTGCTGGAAGAAGTATCAATAACCCCAGATATGCAGATAACACTACCCTTATGGCAGAAAAGTGAAGAACTAAAGAGCCTCTTGATGAAAGTGAAAGAGGAGAGTGAAAAAGTGATTTAAAGCTGGCATAAAGCTCAACATTTAGAAAAGTAAGATCATGGCATTCAGTTCCATCACTTCATAGCAAATAGATAGGGAAACAGTGGCTGATTTTATTTTTCTGGGCTCCAAAATCACTGCAGATAGTAACTGCAGCCATGAAATTAAAAGACGCTTACTCCTTAGAAGGAAAGCTATGACCAACTTGGACAGCATATTAAAAAGCAGAGATACTACTTTTCCAACAAAGGTCCATCTAGTCAAGGCTATGGATTTTCCAGTAGTCCTGTCTGGATGTGAGAGTTAGACTATAAAGAAAGCTGGAAAAAAAAAAAGGGAAGCTGAGTGCCGAAGAATTGATGCTTTTCAACTGTGGTGTTGGAGAAGACTCTTGAGAGTCCCTTGGACTGCAAGGAGATCCAACCAGCCCATCCTAAAGGAGATGAGTTCTGGGTGTTCACTGGAAGGACTGATGTTGAAGCTGAAACTCCAAAACTTTGGCCACCTGATGTGAAGAGCTGACTCATTGGAAAAGACCCTGATGCTGGGAAAGATTGAGGGCAGGAGGAGAAGGGAACAACAGAGGATGAGATGGTTTGATGGCATCACTGACTCAATGGACATGAATTTGAGTAAACTCCAGGAGTTGGCGATGGACAGGGAAGCCTGGCATGCTGCAGTCCATGGGGTTGCAAAGAGTTGGACATGACTGAGCGACTGAACTGAACTGATTAAACACATTGAATACAGTTACTTAATAGCCTTATTCTATTGTGAGTCACAGTGCCCACACAGAGAAAAAGCAGTGTTAGGCTTAAACTGTCAGATCATATCATGTTTTGGGCATCTTAATCAATCTCAATTGTTCGGATTTTTTAATTTGATCTGAGCACAGGATGATAGAACCATTGCCTAAAACAGGACTTAATCTGGAAACATGAATTCACTTTGTATAAACATTCTCATTTATTCCTTTACTCTTTAAAATCTAAGTTTTTTTTTTTCAAAAAATAGCAACTACAATATCCCTATAATAGAACAAAATAGCAGTGATTGAAGGTAATCAATTCTAGCATTTGAAGTATTTTGTGAATAAAGTAAAGTTACCAGTATTGATAGGGTCAGACTTTGCTTTTCTTTACAGAAGGATGAATTTATTTTAAATGTAATTGGAAGAATTAAGTGGTTTGAGAAAGAAAACTGCTATTATTTACAATTAAGTGTAACTTGAAGTCTTAAAATTGTTTTTGTTATTTGTAATTTCTGCAGTTCCATAAAAATAGGCTATTTTTATGGCTATTTTTAGGCTATTTGTGTACCATGGTGAATTAGATTTACTCATAACTTAAAAACAATACTGTATAAAGGGAAAAACTCTGGATCTTTGTTTCCCATCTGTAAGGAGGAAATTGCATCAGATATTCTAAAAGTCCTTTTCATATCTCTGTGAGATTTTGTGATTTTTTTTTTATTGAAAATCATGTTTGCTTTACTTTCTATGTATTTATATTGCAGATGATGGCAATTACATGAAATCCTAAGAGCAGTTTAGCAATATAGAAAAAAACAATTTCCATAGGAGCAGTGTATACTGGCTCTGAGTTCATGTAGGTGTCAAAGTAAGGGGCTCTGGTCTTTCAGTGGTTCATAAAACTCAGGGCTTATTTGTATATCAGCAGACTGGTCTCCGAGGAGGGGAGGGATCATTATCCCTATTTGATAGACAAAACAGATCATGTCCCTGAATGTTGGAGCAGGTATGGTATACACTTGGTATAACACCTTCATTTTAAATTTATTTCTAGGTCTATACAACACGTCTTCTGTTAACAGTTACCTTTCTAACTGTTTTGTGGCCATGCCTCATGGCTTGTGGGATCTCGGTTCTCCAACCAGGAATTAAACCTGGGCCATGGCAGTGAAAACACAGAATCCTCACCACTAGTCCACCAGGCAGCTCCCTAATGTTAGGTTTTATCCCTTTACAAATTCAAATTTCTTCCTCCTCTTTTGGTGGATTCATCCCATTTTTTGTCCACTTTGTGTTTTTATCACGTTTCCCTTCCCTACTAATTACCTTTCCATCCCACCCCCACCTCTGTTTCCTACCCAGATCCTATCCAGACCCTGCCTAAATGTGTTCTCTGAATGAAACTTTTGACTTCCATACCAGAAATGATTGTTTGCTGTATGACCACCGTAGGCAGCACTTTATTTATACCTCTTTCTTGGTGCTTTTTTTTTTTTCCAGTTTCATCTTTTGGCATCTCTTACAATGTTATTTGTTTACATGCCTTATTTCTTTCATAAGGCTTTATGCTAAGGAGTAGGATATAAGTGATTCCTGTTTATATCCCCTATAGTGCTTATCATAATGCCTTGGAGGGACTGAGGCTTGATAAATGATTGTGAAATCACAGATGAGGAAACAGAGGTCCAGAGAAAGGAAGTGAGTTACCTTAAGTCACACAGCAAATTAATGACTGCGTTTGGGTTAGAAGGTATTGCTGGTTTCCTAAAAAATAAATGGTGAGGATGGGAAAAAAATCTGTTACTTTTTGTCCTGATAAGCAAGTATTTTTGATAACACAAAAATAAGACTGTGTAAAGAATGCTAACACTGTCATATGCCACTTAAAACAAATTCATCTTCAGCTTGTGGCTGTAGGAATGAGGAATCATCCATTGGATTTGCCAGTGCAGTTCACAGCCAGCGCTTGTGCCCTCAACTTAACACGCCAGGGCCTGGCCAGGGGGATGCCTGTTCGTCTGTTGTCAGAGGTTACCTGTCTACTTTTCAAGGCTTTGAAAACTTTCCCCCATTACCAGCAGGTAATTTGATTTTAATATTTGACTGTACTTCTTACTTGAGGACAAATAAATGAAAAATATGTTTTATTTAGTTCTGATTTTTCATCCTGAGAGAGAGAAGGAGGGAGGGGGAAAAATAAATTCATGATTACTGTAGAAAAAATAAAAAATATAGATAAGTAATATGGTTTAAAAATTTTGCATTTATCAGAAAACAGCTATCCAGAAACATCTACTGTTAAAACTTTGGTATATCCTATAGGCTTAGCAACATGTGTGAAAATTAAATTGAATTGAGTCATAGATCTAAATATAAAAGCTAAGTCATAGGTCTAAATATAAAAGCCATAAAACTAGAAGAAAACATCAGAGTAGGCAAAGTTTTCTTAGGATACAAAAAGCATATTTCAAAAAGAAAAATAATAAATTAGAATTCATCAAATTAGAAGCTTCTGGTCAAACACACAGAGACATTAAAAAATGAAAAGATAATCCAGGACTGAGAAAAATGTCCACTTTATATATATGACAGAGGACTTTTATCCAGAATTAAAGAACTATTAGATAGGTAACACAAGATAAACAAACCAATTTTTTAAGAAGGCAGAAGGTTTGAACAGACACTCCATGAAAGAAGATAGTGCAGGTGACAAATGAGCACTTGAAAAGATGCTCAGAAAAAAAAGAAGAGAAAAGATGCTCAGTATCTTTGTCTGTCAGGGAAATGCAAATTAAAAGTGCATTTGAATACCACTGTACACTTAGATGGGCTTCCCAGGTGGCACTAGTGATAAGGAATCCACCTACCAGTGCAGGAAAGGCAAGAGACACGAGTTCAATCCCTGGGTGGGGAAGATCCCCTGGAGTAGGAAATGGCAACCCACTCCAGTATTCTTGCCTGGAAAATTCCACGGACAGAGAAGCCTGGCAGGCTACAGTTCGTGGGACTTCAAAGAGTCAGACACTACTGAATACACATCACAGCCTCACAGCACACATAGGTAACACTATACACCTCCTAGATTGGTTGAAATTTAAAAAGTGACAGTATCAGGTGTTGACAAAAGTGTAGAGAAACTGAAATTCTCCTATGTTGATGTTAAGAATGAAAAATGATAAAACCAATCCAACAGTATGGTAATTTCTTTGAAAGTTAGAGATATACCTTTCATACTACACAGTTATTTCACTTGGAGAAATGAAATTATGTAGCCATGTAATGACACACAAATGCTCATAATGTCTTTATTTATTATCCCCCCAAACTGAAAACTTAATGTCACCTGAAAACAGGTGAATAGATAAACCAATTATGATATATTCATATAAGGAAATACTACTTGGTGATAAAAAGAAGTGAAGTACTGATACATGCCACATGGATGAATCTCAAAAAACATTTTATGCTGAGCAAAATAAGCTAGACATGACCATATGACTTTATGTGAAATCTTAGAACACTAATCTGTAATGACAGTATGATTTTCTGGGGTTGAAATTTGCAAGTTGGGAATGGAGTGGCAAGTGTCACAGTGGAACTTTTCGGGGTAATGGAAGTATTTTTTATGTTGATTGTGATAGTGGGTAAATTTATACATAATATATATAAATGTGTCAGATCTGATTGAAATGTATACTTAAAATGGGAATCAAATCTATTAAAAATAGAATAACATGATCTTTCCTCACTTAAATCTGTATTTTCACTTTCTCTTGAAAAATTGGATGATCCTTCTCAATTCAGTCTGAATTCCTACATGGCCATCATTAGTTGGAGACGATTAACAACTGCCCCCATAAAAGGGCCTGAATTGTCCAGTTTGCCGTAATTCCCGCTTCTGCCCTATTTTGCACTCTTCCTTCTTCACTCGTTTATGTTACTGCCTAGTTCCTGTTGGCATTTCAGGTTTTCTACCCCTGCCTCGTACACTATACTGCTGTCATGGCTGTACATGCCACTGGCCTACTCATGGTCTTTCAAAGAGATGTTATAATTTTTTATTCCCACAGCTTTCCTAGAAGTCCTTTTCTCTCTCCTAGTTCAATTCCTACTAGTCATAGGTAGAAAGTAGAAGCTCTGTCACAGAGTTAGTTATGAGATCTGGTTCAGATATAAGTCATTCATTAGATGGGCTAGGCTTCCAGGAATTGATTTAGATTGACACACAGGCAGGCAGCTTTCCACATAGACCCTTCTAGGGTTCAGGGGGAAGGGAGACTCCCTCTTTGCCAGAAAAGAGAAATTACTCTTTAGGCAGAGGTGAATGTTAGAGTTTAATAGTAAGATTGATACCAGAAACTAATATAATGTTGTAAACCAACTATGCTTGAATAAAAAATAAATTTAAAAAACTATTAAAAAAATAGTAAGATTGAATGAAGAACTTGGAAAGGACTAGGTGTACAGCAGGCTTTCAATAAGAAAAGCTTTGAACCTTCCAAATGCTTAGAACCTTTGTTTAGAATGGGTGTACATTTGCTCATAATTATTTTTCTTTATTCCCTTAAAGTTACAGAAGAATTGTCTTCTCTCCTTAACCAATTCCAGGATTCTTGTGGATGTTCCATTCAATAGGCAAGTATAAAATTGGATGATCTGGTTTTGGGGTGTTGACCAGTATTACTCTGAGCTTTGTTGTCTTTTGATTATTAGCCTAGCAGAGGTCTGATTGAGGCTGGGATAAAGCATTTGGTGAGAATGTTCTGTTCAGAAGTACTGTAGTTATAAATGTTGTCTCCCAAAGTGTGAGTCCGTTTCAGGGCAGTGAATGATAAGAACATGGGTGCTAGAGGGTTAAATATCGAATCAGGTTCTAGCTCTTCCATTATCCTTGTGCATAAGTTCCTCATTTGTAAATAGTGACTTTTATTTTTTTAAATTTCTTTTAATTGGAGGCTAATTACTTTACAATATTGTGGTGGTTTTTGCCATACATTCACATGAATCAGCCGTGGGTGTACATGTGTTCCCCATTCTGACCCTCCCTCCAAGTAATTGCTTTATTTATTTATTTATTTATTTTATTTATTTTTATTAGTTGGAGGCTAATTACTTTACAGTATTGTAGTGGTTTTTGTCATACATTGACATGAATCAGCCATGGGTTTACATGTATTCCCCATCCTGATCCTCCCTCCCACCTCCCTCTCCACCCGATCCCTCTGGGTCTTCCAGTGCACCAGGCCCAAGCACTTGTCTCATGCACCCAACCTGGGCTGGTGAGCTGTTTCACCATAGATAATATACATGTTTCGATGCTGTTCTCTCAAAACATCCCACCCTCACCTTCTCCACAGAGTCCAAAAGTCTGTTCTGTACATCTGTGTCTCTTTTTCTGTTTTGCATACAGGGTTATCATTACCATCTTTCTAAATTCCTTATGTATGTGTTAGTATACTGTAATGGTCTTTATCTTTCTGGCTTACTTCGCTCTGTATAATGGGCTCCAGTTTCATCCATCTCATTAGAACTGATTCAAATGAATTCTTTTTAATGGCTGAGTAATATTCCATAGTGTATATGTACCACAGCTTTCTTATCCATTCGTCTGCTGATGGGCATCTAGGTTGCTTCCATGTCCTGGCTATTATAAACAGTGCTGCGATGAACATTGGGGTGCACGTGTCTCTTTCACATCTGGTTTCCTCGGTGTGTATGCCCAGAAGTGGGATTGCTGGGTCATATGGCAGTTCTAATTCCAGTTTTTTAAGAAATCTCCACGCTGTTCTCCATAGCGGCTGTACTAGTTTGCATTCCCACCAACAGTGTAAGAGGGTTCCCTTTTCTCCACACCCTCTCCAGCATTTATTGCTTGTAGACTTTTGGATAGCAGCCATCCTGACTGGCGTGTAATGGTACCTCATTGTGGTTTTGATTTGCATTTCTCTGATAGTGAGTGATGTTGAGCATCTTTTCATGTGTTTGTTAGCCATCTGTATGTCTTCTTTGGAGAAATGTCTGTTTAGTTCTTTGGCCCATTTTTTGATTGGGTCATTTAGTTTTCTGGAGTTGAGCTGGAGGAGTTGCTTGTATATTTTTGAGATTAATCCTTTGTCTGTTGCTTTATTTGCTATTATTTTCTCCCAGTCTGAGGGCTGTCTTTTCACCTTGCTTATAGTTTCCTTTGTTGTGCAAAAGCTTTTAAGTTTCATTAGGTCCCATTTGTTCATTTTTGCTTTTATTTCCCATATTCTGGGAGGTGGGTCATAGAGGATCCTGCTGTGATTTATGTCAGAGAGTGTTTTGCCTATGTTCTCCTCCAGGAGTTCTATAGTTTCTGGTCTTACATTTAGATCTTTAATCCATTTTGAGTTTATTTTTGTGTATGGTGTTAGAAAGTGTTCTAGTTTTGTCCTTTTAGAAGTGGTTGACCAGTTTTCCCAGCACCACTTGTTAAAGAGGTTGTCTTTTTTCCATTTTATATTCTTGCCTCCTTTGTCGAAGATAAGGTGTCCATAGGTTCGTGGATTTATCTCTGGGCTTTCTATTCTGTTCCATTGATCTATATTTCTGTCTTTGTGCCAGTACCATACTGTCTTGATGACTGTGGCTTTGTAGTAGAGCCTGAAGTCAGGCAGGTTGATTCCTCCAGTTCCATTCTTCTTTCTCAAGATTACTTTGGCTATTCGAGGTTTTTTGTATTTCCATACAAATTGTGAAATTATTTGTTCTAGTTCTCTGAAAAATACCGTTGGTAGTTTGATAGGGATTGCATTGAATCTATAGATTGCTTTGGGTAGAATAGCCATTTTGACAATATTAATTCTTCCAACCCATGAACACGGTATATTTCTCCATCTGTTTGTGTCCTCTTTGATTTCCTTCATCAATGTTTTATAGTTTTCTATGTATAGGTCTTTTGTTTCTTTAGGTAGATATGCTCCTAAGTATTTTATTCTTTTTGTTGCAATGGTGAATGGTATTGTTTCTTTAATTTCTCTTTCTGTTTTCTCATTGTTAGTGTATAGGAATGCAAGGGATTTCTGTGTGTTAATTTTATATCCTGCAACTTTATTATATTCACTGATTAGCTCTAGTAATTTTCTGGTAGAGTTTTTAGGGTTTTCTATGTAGAGGATCATGTCATCTGCAAACAGAGAGAGTTTCATTTCTTCTTTTCCTATCTGGATTCCTTTTACTTCTTTTTCTGCCCTGATTGCTGTGGCCAAAACTTCCAAAACTATGTTGAATAGTGGTGAGAGTGGGCACCCTTGTCTTGTTCCTGATTTAGGGGAAATGCTTTCAGTTTTCCACCATTGAGGGTAATGCTTGCTGTGGGTTTGTCATATATAGCTTTTATTATGTTGAGATATGTTCCTTCTATTCCTGCTTTCTGGAGAGTTTTAATCATAAATGGATGTTGAATTTTGTCAAAGGCTTTTTCTGCATCTATTGAGATAATCATATGGTTTTTATCTTTCAATTTGTTAATGTGGTGTATTACATTGATTGATTTGTGGATATTAAAGAATCCTTGCATTCCTGGGATAAAGCCCACTTGGTCATGGTGTATGATTTTTTTAATATGTTGTTGGATTCTGTTTGCTAGAATTTGGTTAAGGATTTTTGCATCTATGTTCATCAGTGATATTGGCCTGTAGTTTTCTTTTTTTGTGGCATCTTTTTCTGGTTTTGGAATTAGGGTGATAGTGGCCTCATAGAATGAGTTTGGAAGTTTACCTTCTTCTGCAATTTTCTGGAAGAGTTTGAGTAAGATAGGTGTTAGCTCGTCTCTAAGTTTTTGGTAGAATTCAGCTGTGAAGCCATCTGGTCCTGGGCTTTTGTTTGCTGGAAGATTTCTGATTACATTTTCGATTTCCTTGCTTGTGATGGGTCTGTTAAGATCTTCTATTTCTTTCTGGTTCAGTTTTGGAAAGTTATACTTTTCTGAGAATTTGTCCATTTCTTACAAGTTGTCCATTTTATTGGCATAGAGCTGCTGGTAGTAGTCTCTTATGATCTGTTGTATTTCAGTGTTGTCTGTTGTGATCTCTCCATTTTCATTTCTAATTTTGTTAATTTGGTTCTTCTCCCTTTGTTTCTTAATGAGTCTTGCTAATGGTTTGTCAATTTTGTTTATTTTTTCAAAAAACCAGCTTTTAGCTTTGTTGATTTTTGCTATGGTCTCTTTAGTTTCTTTTGCATTTATTTCTGCCCTAATTTTAAAGATTTCTTTCCTTCTACTAACCCTGGGGTTCTTCATTTCTTCCTTCTCTAGTTGCTTTAGGTGTAGAGTTAGGTTATTTATTTGACTTTTTTATTGTTTCTTGAGGTAAGCCTGTAATGCTGTGAACCTTCCCCTTAGCACTGCTTTTACAGTGTCCCATAGGTTTTGGGTTGTTGTGTTTTCATTTTCATTCATTTCTATGCATATTTTGATTCCTTTTTTGATTTCTTCTATGATTTGTTGGTTGTTCAGAAGTGTGTTATTTAGCCTCCATATGTTTGAATTTTTAATAATTTTTTTTCCTGTAATTGAGATCTAATCTTACTGCACTGTGGTCAGAAAAGATGACTGGAATGATTTCAATTTTTTTGAATTTACCAAGACTAGATTTATGGCCCAGGATGTGATCTGTTCTGGAGAAGGTTCCGTGTGCACTTGAGAAAAAGGTGAAGTTGATTGTTTTGGGGTGAAATGTCCTTTAGATAACAATTAGGTCTAGCTGGTCCATTGTGTCCTTTAAAGTTTGTGCTTCCTTGTTCATTTTCTGTTTAGTTGATCTATCCATAGTTGTGAGTGGGGTATTAAAGTCTCCTACTATTATTGTGTTACTGTTAATTTCCTCTTTCATACTCGTTAGTGTTTGCCTTACATATTGCAGTGCTCCTATGTTGGGTGCATGTATATTTATAATTGTTATATCTTCTTCTTGGATTGATCCTTTGATCATTATGTAGTGTCCTTCTTTGTCTCTTTTCACAGCCTTTATTTGAAAGTCTGTTTTATCTGATATGAGTTTTGTGACTCCTGCTTTCTTTTGGTCTCTGTTTGCATGAAATATTTTTTTCCAGCCCTTCACTTTTAGTCTGTATGTGTCCCTTGTTTTGAGGTGGGTCTCTTGTGGACAGCGTATATAGGGGTCTTGTTTTTGTATCCATTCAGCCAGTCTTTGTCTTTTGGTTGGGGCATTCAGCCCATTTACATTTAAGGTAATTATTGATAGGTATGGGCCCATTGCCATTTACTTTGTTGTTTTGGGTTCACGTTTATACAACCTTTCTGTGTTTCCTGTCTAGAGAAGATCCTTTAGCATTTGTTGAAGAGCTGGTTTGGTGGTGCTGAATTCTCTCAGCTTTTGCTTGTCTGTAAAGCTTTTGAATTCTCCTTCATATCTGAATGAGATCCTTGCTGGTACAGTAATCTAGGTTGTAGGTTATTCTCTTTCATTACTTTATGTCCTGCCATTCCCTTCTGGCCTGAAGGGTTTCTATTGATAGATCAGCTGTTATCCTTATGGGAATCCCTTTGTGTGTTATTTGTTGTTTCTCCCTTGCTGCTTTTAATATTTGTTCTTTGTGTTTGATCTTTGTTAATTTGATTAATATGTGGCTTGGGTTGTTTCACCTTGGGTTTATCCTGTTTGGGACTCTCTGGGTTTCTTGGACTTGGGTGGCTATTTCCTTCCCCATTTTAGGGAAGTTTTCAACTATTATCTCCTCGAGTATTTTCTCATGGCCTTTCTTTTTGTCTTCTTCTTCTGGGACTCCTATGATTCGAATGTTGGGGCATTTCACATTGTCCCAGAGGTCCCTAAGGTTGTCCTCATTTCTTTTGATTCTTTTTTCTTTTTTCCTCTCTGCTTCATTTATTTCCACCATTTTATCTTCTACCCCACTTATCCTATCTTCTGTCTCCATTATTCTACTCTTGGTTCCCTCCAGAGTGTTTTTGATCTCATTTATTGCATTATTCATTTTTAATTGACTCTTTTTTATTTCTTCTAGGTCCTTATTAAACATTTCTTGCATCTTCTCAATCTTTGTCTCCAGGCTATTTATTTGTAACTCCATTTTGTTTTCAAGATTTTGGATCATTTTTATTATCATTATTCTAAATTCTTTTTCAGGTAGATTCCCCATCTCCTCCTCTTTTGTTTGACTTGGTGGGCATTTTTCATGTTCCTTTACCTGTTGGGTATTTCTCTGCCTTTTCATCTTGTTTAGATTGGTGTGTCTGGAGTGGGCTTTCTGTATTCTGGAGGTCTGTGGTTCCTTTTTATTGTGGAGGTTTCACCCAGTGGGTGGGGTTGGACGATTGGCTTGTCAAGGTTTCCTGGTTAGAGAAGCTTGCGTCGGTGTTCTGGTGCGTGGAACTGGATTTCTTCTCTTTGTAGTGCAATGGAGTGTCCAGTAATGAGTTTTGAGATGTGTCTATGTGTTAGGTGTGACTTTGGGCAGCCTGTATGTTGACGCTCAGGGCTATGTTCCTGCGTTGCTGGAGAATTTGCATGGTGTGTCTTGCTCTGAAACTTATTGGCTCTTGTGTGGTGGTTGGTTTCAGTGTAGGTATGGAGGCTTCTGGACGGTCTCTTATTACTTAATGTTCTGTGTAGTCAGGAGTTTTCTGGTGTTCTCAGGTTTTGGGCTTAAGTCTCCTGCCTCTGGATTTCAGTTTTGTTCTTCCAGTAGTCTCAAGACTTCTCCAACTATACAGCACTGATAATAAAACTTCTAGGTTAATGGTGAAAAGATTCTCCACCGTGAGGGACACCCAGAGAGGTTCACAGAGTTACATGAAAAAGAGGAGAGGGAGGAGGGAGATAGAGGTGAGCAGGAGGAGAAAAGGAGGACTCAAGAGGAGAGAGACAGATCTACGCAGTTGTCTGTTCCCAGAGTGTTCTCCGTAGCCCAGACACCCACAGAGATTCACAGAATTGGATTGGGAAGAGAAGGGGGAGGGAGGAAATAGAGGTGTTATGAGGAGAGAGTAATCAACACACTCCTGAATAAAAATGGGAACTGAATATTGGATTCTTAAATGTCCAAAATTTATATCACATACTGAAAAACAAAGATTAAAAATCTAGAGTAGAGGTTAGACTCTTAAAAATACAACATTAAAAACAAAAACACAAAAAATTTTAGAAGTATATATGAAGTTCGGTTTAAAAACAGGGCTTCTCTCTTTTTTTTTTTGCAAGGTTATAGTGAAATGAAAATGAAAATTAAGGAGTAGTAGAGGAGTGATAGAGGACTTTAAAAGAAAATAAGAGGAAAAAAAATAAAAATAAAAAATTTTTTCCTAATTAAAAAAATCCTAAAAATATATGGAAATGAAAGTTAAGGAGTAATGGGGGCGTAATAGGGAATTTTAAAAGAAAATAATAGAGAAAAAATAGAAAAGAAAAAAAATTTTTTAATTAAAAAAAGAAAAAAAATATATCTAGGAATTTCTCTGGAGCTGTTGCAGTCAGTGTGGGTTCGGTTCAGTTTTAGATAGTTCCTCGTTCCAGCTTACACTTCTCAATATCTATAGGCCCCTTCCGGTGTAGTCGGAGTTACCTACAGGGATTTTAATCTGTTGTACCAGTGCCTTCTGAAGCGGTTCCCTTTGTTTATTTGGCTTCTGTTTGCCGGTCTCTTCAGTGTCTAATTTCCGCCCTGACACAGGCAGGCGGAGGTGGTCTCTTGTTCAGGTTCACTAGTTCAGTCCTGCTGCGGGGAGGGAGGGGCGCTGCAGGCAGATATCGCTGTGTGTGGGGAGCACTCACAGAGTTCGGCCATACTGGGTTTGCCCTGCTCACGGGTGTGTGCTCTCCCGGTCTATGCTGCTCAGGCTCCCGGCTGCTCTATATGGAGCATTCCCTGTGTTGCTTGCGGTTCCAGTTTTCTTATATTCCACAAAAGCGCGGACTCGGTTGCGCCTGCGTTTTGTTCCTTCCCTGGCCGAAGCAGCTCAGGCAGCCAGGTACTTGACGGGTGCACTCTCCCCGGATGCGGTGCGCCTTCTCCCCTCCACGGTTCCAGCCTCAGTTTCCGCCCACGTCAGTCGGGTGCGTGGGCCTTGTGTTTAGCCGCGACCCTCCCGGCAGATGTCGACCATCCAGAATCTCAGGAAGTCTTTGGTTAGAAACTGGAGGCCTGTTTGCAGTGTGGTAGGGGGTGCCGTCTCTGGGGCCGAGTTTGCCCCTTTCCCCTCCCCCCTGCCTCCTGCCTCCGGCAGGGATGGCCGGTCCACAGCCGGCCAGCTCCTCTGGACTTGCTCGGTCCCTTTGTTCTGTGAACGGCCGGCAGTGTGTTCAGGCCGGTTAATTTTCTCTCTCTCTTTTGCTATCCCACAGTAAGTTGCTATCTCACAAAAGCTCCCTCTGATTGCCCTCAGGGCACTCAGGCCTGGTCCTTGCCGCCGGTCCTTACCCTAAGCAATGCCGCCTGCTCCTCTCCGTTCCGCCCCCACTTGCTGGTGGCGGATGCGGGCGTCTGGGGTGCTTTTCTGCTGGGAGTTGCTATTAGGCACATAATCTGTGGGTTTTATTTATTTTTCCTCCCAGTTAGGTTGCCCTCCGAGATTTGAAAACTTCCCCCAGAACTGCCGGTGCGAGGGTTTCTTGGTATTTGGAAACTTCCTCTATTAAGACTCCCTTCCCGGGACGGGTCTCTGTCCCCAGCTCTTTTGTCTCTCTTTTTATCTTTTATATTTTGTTCTACCTCCTTTCGAAGACAATGGGCTGCTTTTCTGGGTGCCTGATGTCCTCAGCTAGCGATCAGAAGTTGTTTTGTGAAGTTTGCTCAGCGTTCAGTTGTTCTTTCGATGAATTTGTAGGGGAGAAAGTGGTCTCCCCATCCTAATCCTCCGCCATCTTGGCTCCTCCCCACAATAGTGACTTTTAGAATGTTTGTAAGGTACTTATCACAGTACCTAGCATATGAGTGCAGGTTATCCTAAATATTAGCCATTCTTTTTGTTATTATTTTATTGATAATGATTTTTTAAAAAAAAGTATCAGTTGAGATTCCAGAAGAATTTCCCTGGAGGCCATTGTAATCTTGTTTCAAAACGTTAGTAATAGTTGCTGCCAACAGGAAAAATAAGCACAGTCTGATATGGACAAAGTCCATGATTTATAGGTGTAAGGTTGTAGGCTTTGCTATTCTCAAATCTATTGAAAGTGTATACTTACAATGAGAGTTGACTCTTAAAAATACAGTGGGGAAGGTTAGCGTCTTCCTTCTCAACTCAGTCTTCCTTCCTGTGTAGCATCAGTTGGAGCTGAGTAAAAACCATGAATAAAGTGATTTATTGTTTGCTGTGGCATTTTAGCACTGTCTGCAAGCTGGTTTACAAATTACTATTTCTTGGGGAACGTATTGCCCTTTTTATTACAGTAGAAACTGAGTGCTAAAAAAGTCGTCTTTTTAACTTCTATTTTTGAATCTTGTGTGTTCTATTTTTTTTTTTTAATAATTTTATTTTTGTCTGTGCTGGGTCTTCACTGCTGCACAGGCTTTTCTCTAGTTTCAGAGAGTGGGGATTGCTTTCTACTTGTGCGTGGGCAGCCCTGGGGTGGCTGCTCTTGTAGAGCATGGCTCTAGAGCACGTGCTGAGTTGCTCTGCAGCATGTCAGATCTCCTGGATCAGGGATCAAACCTGTGTCTTCTACATTGGCAGGTGGATTCTTTACCACTGAGCCACCAGGGAAGCCTTGCTCTTCTTTTTTGCACACTCTCTTTTCTTCTCTTTTTTGCCAAATACTCTTGGTTTTCATCGCCGAGTCTTTACAAGTGCACAACTATTTTTAAACAGGATTTGCTGGGGAGGCTGAGTGATATCTTAACTTCTCATGTATAGTTTACAAAGTTTATTGTGAGGAAAAATACTGTTTTTTAGGTTCGATGCTGCCAAGTTTGTTATGAGATGGCTCTGTAAGCATGAAGACCCCAAGATGCAAGCCATGGCAGTGAGCATAATCTCTATTCTTGCCCTGCAGGTATGTGGTTGCTAAATGCAAGACTTCTCTTTCCCTAGTCTTAGTGGAGCATTGATGGAGTTTGAAACATCTCGCTGTCTGCTTTTTTCTAGCTCTCACCTGAGCAAACTGCACAACTTAAAGAGGAGGTTTTCATGGCAGTTAAGGTAGGTTGTCACTTTTAGAACTTTTTTTAAATAAAAGTAAGTTTAAAAAATTAAAAACAGTTTAAAAGTCTTGTAAAATGAACAATCTGTAGGACCTGCTACCTAGAAGAAGCTATTCTCTACTTTTAAATAGCTGTTTCTTCTGGCATTCCATTCTCCATATTTCTAAATAAAATGCTTATAACTGCAGCTGTGCTGTCTTCGTTGCAGTGTGAGCATTCTCTAGTTGCGACATGTGGGGGCTTCTCTTGTTATGGAGCTCAGCCTCAGGAGTTGTAGCATTCAGGGTCTAGAGCATTTGGGCTCTCTATTTGCAGTGTGCAGGCTTAGTTGCTCCATGGCATGGGAGATCATAGTGTACTCACGCCTCTCCACCACCACCAGAGATTGAATTCATGTCCCTTGCATTGGAAGGTGGATTCTTGAGCACTGTACCACCAAGGAAGTACTGCAGTTCCTTGATTTATCAATTTTAGATGTTACCTCCTGATTCTGCTGCTCTCAGTTCAGTTCAGTTCAGTCCCTCAGTCGTGTACAACTCTTTGTGACCCCATGAACTGCAGCACGCCAGGCTTCCTGTCCGTCACCAACACCCGGGGCTTGCTCAGGCTCATGTCCATTAAGTCAATGATGCCATCTAACCATCTCATCCTCTGTCACCCCCTTCTCCTCCTGCCTTCCATCTTTCCTAGCATCAGTGTCTTTTCCAGTGAGTCAGTTCTTCGCATCAGGTGGCCAGAGTATTGGAGCTTCAGCTTTAGCATTAGTCCTTCCAATGCATATTCAGGACTGATTTCCTTTAGGATTGACTGGTTTGATCTCCTTGCAGTCCAAGGGAGCCTCAAGAGTCTTCTCTAGCACCACAGTTCAAAAGCATCAATTCTTTGTGGTTAGTTGTTGCAAACTTCTTGGTGTCAGATCCTTTGTTCTTGTGGTCGGGTCATGGTGAGGTAGCGATGTTTCTGTAAATCTCCACCAACAAATGTTATTCTGTTTTACAAGAAAGGGCAAGGTCCCTAGGCAAAAATTTCACCCTCCAAGATCCAAGTCCTAGCTATGAGGTGGGGGTTCCTGCAGGGGTCTGTTACCCTGACAAAAAGCATTCATCCAGCACCCAGTCTGGGTTCTCTTGCCAGTGTCCAGGCCTGGCTGAAAAGGTGCATCTCAGTTGGCATCTCCCTCAGAGCCAGGTCTCCAGACCCTGCCCAGTTGTCATCTCTTAGGGAGCCAGGTGCCCTGGAGCCACCCCTTCCTCAAACTCCTCAGGCTGTCCAAGTGGTAGGGGCCAGGTCCCACGAACTTCATCCTATACAGGCTGCCACTGCTATTAGGTCACAGAGGCGGGGATGGGGGAGAGAGTCATTACCACCTCAGGCCTGGCTCTGCCAGTGTGTGGCCTTGACAAGGGTTCTGTGTCCCTGTAGGACACATGCCTCAGTGTGTTCTCTGGGCCCCCCAGTGATCCATGGCTGGGTGAGCTGGAGGCTCCAGGGAGGAGGCAGAGATCCACCTCTTACCTCACTCTGCACAGGACGACCACCACTCTGCCTACCGTTGGTTGAATGGTCGCTCATCGGCAGTTGCTTGCTTGTGGGAGGGTCCTATTGCCCTGCCGACCAGTAACTGAGCAGGATCACTAATGGTCACTCATTGACAGTTGCTGAGTTTAGGGAGGGGCCTACTTCACCACCAACCCATGGCTGAGCAATCATTAATAGTCTTTTGGTAACCATTGTCTGGTAAGGGGGAAAGTGGGGGCTAATGGCTGCAGCACTGGCTGCATGCTAAGGGCTGTGCACAGCCATGCTGTATTACACTTTTGGTTCTTGTAGCTTTATTTTTGTGAATTCTCTAGATATATTCTCTCTGGCTGTATAAATATTTGAGGTGGAATTAGAGCATTGCCAAGCACAGATCTTAGCACGTGGCCATCACTGTGTACTGTTACTGTGCACCCTGTTACCAGCCATTGATTGGTGCTGCAGTGGGCCCTCCCACAGTGGCCAACTGTCAGTGAGTGACCATTAGTGGTCCTGCTCAGCCGTTGGTTGGCACCAGGCCCCTCCCACAGGCAACCAGCTGTCAATGAGTGACCATTAGTGGTCCTGCTCAACCATTGGTTGGCAGCAGGCCCCTCCCACAAGCAACCAACTGTCAATGAGTGACTGTTAATGGGCCCATTCAGCAAACAGTCAGTGGAGTGGTGGTCATCAGGGGGAGAGTGAGGTAAGAGGTGGATTGGGGGTCTTCTCCCTGGGGACCTCCAGCTCACCCAGGCTTGGGCCCTTGGGTGAGCTGGGAGGCTCAGGAAACAGGCTGGGGGCTGTGTCCTGCAGGGCTCTAGAACCCTCGCCAAGGCCACCCACTTACCTTCGCCCAGGCCTTGAGGCAGAGGTGAATCTCTCCCCTGTCTCTACCTCTTGACCTAATGGCAGTGGCAGTCAGCATAGGATGCTGTTGGTGGGACCTGGTCCCCACCATACAGGTGGCCTGAGGAGCCTGAAGGCCAGTTGGGCGCCTGCTTCCTCAGCGATGATGGCTGGACAGGGTCTGGGGACATGGCCCTGAGGGAGTTGCCAACTGAGGTCTGCCTCTTCAGCCAGGATCTGGACCTCAAAGGGTGAAATTTTTGGCTAGGGACCTAGCCCTTTCTTGTCAGGACAGAGAATAATATTTGCTGGTGGAGATTTACAGAAACACCTTACCTGACCATGACCTGACCTCAAGAACAAAGGGTCTGATACTAGGTCCTTTGTGGAAATGGCTGTCTCTTTCCTTTTACGTGATAGTCTAGCATGTTTGAAAGAAAGCATGAATACTAGCTTAACTTTGATGATCTAGAAATATTCTAATATGAAATGGTATGTTGGAATGTGTTAAAGTAGTTTTTTAAAGCTGTTAGGACATATGATTATAATAGTGTTATCCTCTAGCCATGCTAACCTGCTTAGTGGTATAGAACAGACTTTTTTTCCTCTAGAATATCTCCCTGCGCTGCTCCTCCCATTCCCTGTGTCCTCATCCCTTGCTTAGTTGCCTTATCCTCTTTTTCTTCTGGTCTCAGTTTAGATATTACCTTTGTATGTGTTACTGAGTGCAAGCACAAGCTTATTCTGTTTGCCACACAACAGGCCAGTCAGGAGCTGAGTTGATGGAATAGGAAATAATGATTTTAATCAGATAACTAGCCAACTAAGAAGATGGCAGACTAGTGTCTCAGAAACCATCTTGCCTCAGGGACTCCCCTGGTGGTCCAGTGATTAAGAATCTGCCTTGCAACACAGAGGAAATGGGTTCAGTCCCTGCTCAGGGAACTAAGGTCCCACATGCCATGGAGCAATTAAACCAGCATATGCCTCCCGCTGAGGCCTGGCACCACTTAGAAGGTCCTTGTGCCTCAATGAAAGAGCCCTCATAGTACAACAAAGGTCGTGCATGCTAAGAGTTGATATTGCAAAATAAATAAATATTAAGAAAATAGTTTTTAAAAGAACCAAACCCATCTTAACCCAATCTTAACTGAGGTAAGATTTGGACTCCTTTTATCTACAGGAGGGGAGAGGGGCTCACTTGGCACTGACCAGTGGCTGAGCAGGATCACTAATGGTTGCGGGTTGACAGTTGCTCTCTTTAGGAGAGGGGCCCATGTTGTGCCAATTGGTGGCCGAGCAGGGCTGCTATAGCTTGCACCTGCCTTGCTGCCGGTACACTCCGAGCAGAACACTGCGACATCAGAAAGCGGCCAGGTCTGAAGAACTGCCAGATCAGTCCAGTGGTAACTCTGGGCGGGGTGAAACACAAGGCGCATAAGCAGTGGAGACCACAGTGGCCACGTGGAGGCAGCTGGCACGTCCATCCCTGGGATCGCTGTCTGAGGCGGGGCGCTGTGGGTTCAGCCCATACTGACTTCACTGGGCAGCTCGTGACTGAAGAGGTAGCCCAGGTGCGAGTGTCCACAGAGTGGAGCTCTAGCCTGCCCACCTGTGCAGTGGGTAGGCGGCAGGCATGGACCAGTGGGGTCTGTGTCGCTGCGTGCAGAGAGGTGCGGTGCGGTGCAGCAGCCCCTCCCTAGATGGCTGGTGCCAGGGATTGGGGAGGGAAGGGCCCATCACACTTTGGGAAGGTTGCTGTTACATTTGGAGGTTTCTCACACCTTTTCTAAAGAAAATTCTTTTATGTGTTTCCTTCAGAGCATTTACCAAATTTTAAAACTTTTATTTAGTTGAAAAAAACCAATTATCTTTTCTTTTTAAATGTCTCTCTTACCTGAATATGTGCCTGCCTTCCAAAAGGTGTTGACTAGATACTCTTAATAGATGAATAATGGAATAGCTAATATGTTCTTGATTATAAGGCTTATTAACAAGCATGACAAACTAGATTAAGTGATTGTTAAACTTTAATAATTTTTTCTTTTGAGCTTCACAAAAACCCTAGGAAATAGGTGTAACTCATTTTACAGAGAGAAGGTAGGAACCAAAGCTATTAAGTGGTCAAACTGGGTTTAGAACCTCTGTTTGATTCTAAAGCTTTTCTTAACCATTGCTTTCCTTATATTGGAAATACATGAGTCAGTCACCAGAGTATCATTCTCTTTTTCTTTTTTAGGAACTTCTAGCAATAGTAAAACAAAAGACTGCTGAGAGTCTAGATGATGTCACCCTCTTGTTTACTTTGAAAGCACTTTGGAATCTTACAGAACAATCTCCAGCTGCTTGTAGGCACTTTATTGAAAATCAAGGATTGGCAATCTTCATCCAAGTCTTAGAGGTGGGAAGACAGGATTGAGTTTATCTGTAAAGTTGTTTTCTTCATGATAAAATAACCTGTATATTTTTTTCACAGACTTTTTCAGAGACAGCAATACAAAGCAAAGTACTTGGTCTTTTGGTAAGGTGAATTGTTTTGAGTTAATTGTAATTAATTAAACAATAAGAAAACTAATACTTATGTGTTACTTACTATGTGCTAGGCACTTTTGTAAGCAGTTTACATTAACTTGTTTGATCTTCACACCATCTCTATAAAGTAAATACCACTATATATGAGTCAGCTATTGCTGTAAACAAACTACAGCTTAAAACAGCATCCATTTTATTTACTTGTGAATCTGTGGGTCAGCAGTTTGAACTCGGCTCAGCTGTGCAGTTCTGCTGGTCTTATGTGGTTACTCATGTCACTGCAGTCATTGGTGGCTGAGCTAGACCTAGGTGCTCTAAGATGATCTGACTCTCATCTCTGACAGTTGGTGCAGGCTGTTAGCTGGGCCTTGTGTGTCTATGAGCTTCCTCACTTGGCGGTTTCACGGCAGTGGTAGAAGCAAGTCCACTGTACAAGTGCTTCTTCAACTTCTGCTAATGTCAGATTTTCTAATGTCGCACTGGTCAAAAGCAGCTTATACAATCTGGGGTGTTTTCCAACAACCACTTTTCTGGTTCTCTGACACCAGCTGGATTCCTACAGTTCGATTCAGTCAAATTCTGTCACTGACTATCGGGCATTAGCATCAGATCCTAAAAAAGCTCAGTTCCACAAGTCTGCCGCCACTTTAGTTGCCAACTGTTAAGTCCAGAGCTACCCCTACTTCTGACTGACTTTAAGTTGAGGGATTCCACAACCCCTTCCTCAGGTTGGTGATTTGCTGGAATGGCTCACAGAACTTGGGAAGGCACTTTATTTGATATTTTTTAAAAATATATATTTATTTGACCGTGCTTGGTCTTATTTATGGCCTGTGGGATCTTCATCGCAGCATGCAAGATCTTTAGTTGTGGCATTGTGGAATCTAGTTGCAGTATGCAAACTCTTAGTTGCAGCATGTAGGATCTAATTACCTGACCAGGTATCAAAACTGGGCCCCATGCATTGCAAATGCAGAGTCTTAGCCACTGGACCACCAGGGAAGTCCTAAAGGAAAGATTTTTTTTTGGTCTGTACCCCACATGGCACAGGGGAATCTTTATTTCCCAGCCAGGGATTGAATCATTGCCCTTTGCAGTGAAAGTGCAGAGTCCTAACCACTGTGTGTTGGTGCTAAGTCGCTTCAGTCATGTCTGACTCTTTTTGACCTTATGGACTAGCCCGCCAGACTCCTGTCCATGGAATTCTCCAGGGAAGAAAACTGGAGTGGGTTGCTGTGCCCTCCTCCAGGGGATCTTACCAACCCAGGGATTGAACCCACGTCTCTTACTTCTACAATGACGTGCAGGTTCTTTACCACTGGTGCCACCTGGGAAGCCCCCCTAACCACTGTACTACCAGGTAACATCCCCTGCTATTTTTAATTTATTATAGATACAACTCAGAAAAAGTCAAATGAAAGATATGTTGTCTCCAGCAAGAAACTCTTATTCCTGCAGCCACAAGGAAATGAACCCTACCAACACTCTGAGTGAGCTTGGAAGTAGTCTCCCCACCCCCACCTCACCCATTGGAGCCTCCAGATGCGAGCATGCAGCCCAGCCAGCACTTTGACTGCAGGCTTGTGAAACCCAGCTAAGCAAGGCCCATAGAAACTGTGAAGGGACAAATGTGTGTTGTTTTAAGCCACTGAGTTTGTGTTAAATTTGTTACACAGCATCGAAAACTAAAATAATGAAACTCCTACCTGCCTTTCATTGTTACCGTTAAAACTGATGTAACATATAGTGGGCCCCCAGGAATGTTAAGTTTTTGAGTCAGACCTGGATTTGTAATCTACTCCAACCAGTTGTTAGTGATGTGAAGCTGACAAGTTACTGTTTCTGAGTGTCAGACTTCTTTGTAGGACTATAAAGATTAAATGAGATGAGGCAGATAAAAAAGACATGATAAGGCATATAAAAAAGAATTTCAGTCTATCTAAGCGCAGTGCCTGGCACTTAGTAAGTGCTTCCTCAGTGATTTGTTCTTACTAATTATCTTTATCATCAAGAGGATGGGTTTGTAGTAGATGTGAGGCTAAATCAGAGGGGAGGAGGGGAGAATGAGTGTTCTTATGTGTATCTGAGCTCAGCAGTAAGAGAGGGAGAGAAACCAGTTCCTGATATTCTCTACTCCCATCTGCTCCATAGAACAACATTGCTGAAGTCAGAGAACTCTTTTCCAAGCTGATTACTGAAGATGTGGTAAAGCATATCAGTAGCTTGCTCCATAGCAAGGAATTGGAAGTCAGCTATTTAGCTGCAGGCATCATTGCTCACCTGACATCTGACAAACAGCCCTGGATATCTTGTGACCTCCAGAGGAGAGCGCTTCTCCAGGATCTGGTATAAGGACTTTTCCTCTTTATAAAATCCAGAGTCATCTCTTCTTGCAGAAAACTTATTTTTCTAGATCATAAGAGTTTTTGAAATAAATTGTAGAAAATGGGAAAAATAGAGAAAAATATAAACAAAACATTATAAATCATCCACACACTACCACCCAAAGCTAACCTCTATTAACATTTTTTTTCATTCCTTCTGATACTTTCCTTTTATAAAATTAAGCATGCAAACAGCTTATATAGCTTATTCCACTTCTGTTTCCCACTTTCATCCCTTTTTAAAGCTGTTTCTTTTGGTGTTTACTTTCTTATTTCTAACACATGCTATGCCTTGACTTTGTAGTTTTAGACATTGTCAGTTTATTTCCCACTTGGGAAAATGAAAATTCCCAGTGCACACCCTTTCTTGTACTCCAAGTACATGTCTCCTTTCAGTACATTCAAACATTCTGTCCACGTCAGCTTCCTTCCCAAGCCTCTGTTTTTGTTCCATCTGTTAGATGTATTTGTTAGATATATTTTGTGTATCTGTTAGGCCACTGTCATTGCAGGACGTTCCTTTACTGTCATCCTGAAGATTCTCTTTGCTCTCTCATGTTGGATTCCCTGTTTCCTGGATTGCATACCTTCTTGTTCTTTGGTTTACGCCCTCATTCTGTTGGGTCATATCCTCCAGTAGCTTCCTAAGAGATATATGAAAAGAAAATTTGAAACCTTTTATATTTGAAAGACCTTTATTTTACATTCACCTTTAGTTGATCAAATGGCTGGATATAAAACTCAAGTACTGAAATATTTTCCTTTCACATTTCTAGGTCATTGCTCCATTGTTTGTTATTTCTTGGTATCACTGTTGAGAAGTCCTGTGCCATTTTTCTTTGGAAGCTTTAAGATCTTTGTCTTTATTGTTTGGAAATCTCAGTGATGTGCCTTGATATGAGTTTATTTTCATCTGTTCCTTTGGCTACTTACTTCTCTGGAATCTTGTTTTCCTTCAGTTCTAGGAGATTTCTTTCTAACCTTTTCATCCCTCCATCCCTTCTTCCTCTTTTACTTTTACTTCCTTTCTTACTTCTTTACTCTTTTTCTCCCTGCCTCCCTCCCTTCCTTAATTCCTGTTCTCCTGGTTGAAAATCATAAGCTTGGCTCCCAACAGTCTAAACACCCATAGAAGGATAGAGTTGAGGGCAGGGGCACCTCAGCATTTAGTATTTAGATTTTTCATTTCAGCCCCCTGTTTTTAGTGTGGTACTTCCAACCTCAATTGTTCATGGGGTTGCCCAGTCCAAAAATTTTTGTAAGGGGTGGTAGAGGAGATCTGGGAGTCTTGATTCTTTGGTACTTTCAACCAGTCCTCCTATTTTTAACCCTACGTGTAATCTCACTTCCTGAAGTACTTTGTATGCCCAATTTTTAAGTCTGTTAGGGGTTCTGTTCAAAATAGTTTTTTTTTTTTTTAACCTTCCCCAGTGCTAGATCTATTAAATCACTTACCATTTTTCTTCTGCTTTGTTTCATGTGTGTTTGTCTTCTTTTAAACCATTTGTACTGTTCCATTCATGCTCAGTCTTCCATCTTTAAACAGAAGTCCCTTTCTGGTGTATTGTTTTCTATGTGACTTTCTTCATATTCTGCATATGTAATGGCTGTCTAATTAATAGTTGGTTGGCTAGATATACCTAAATTTGAATAATCAATCCTCGATTTTGAAAATTTATATTGTTTCATATGTATGTAATTATAAATGACATGAAATAATACTAGAATCTTGATTTCTCTTTTTGTATAGTATACAACCATCCAGAATTGGCCAAGTTCAAGTTGTAAGATGACAGCTTTGATCACTTACAGGTAATTTCATGATGGCGTAGTGCTTCTCTTAAAGCTTGTCCTCAGGCTGCTCACTATGTAGAGGCCGTGGTACAGGGATAAAATATTAGAATCAAATAACCTTATATTCAAATCCGATTTCTTTGTGATACTGGTAAAATCACTTTAAGAAAATCTCTGAGACTTAGTTTTTGTCATCTGTAAAATGAAGCTGGCAGTGTGCAATATTGAGGGTGGAATCAGTTATTGAATGTATAGTGTCTAACTCAGAATATAATTTCTTAAATGCTAGTTCCAGTTACATGCTCAGCAATACATCTGTCTTTTTTTTTTTTTTTAATCTCATATCATTTTACTTGTCCTCAAGAAAAGTGATGACAAAATTATGACTATAAATTTGGGTAGGGAAATAAAGGGAATATTTAGTATGAGAAATCATAACAAATTACAAATTATAAAATGCTAAAACACCACAATCATCACAAAATCTAGAATAATATCCTAATATATTCACTAATGAAATTTCTGACAGACATCTATAATCATTTTTCCTACATTTCTGGTAGCAAACTCTTTGTTTGCTCTTTTTTTTTTAATTTAATGATTTTATTTATTTATTTATTTTTTCCATTTATTTTTATTAGTTGGAGGCTAATTACTTTACAATATTGTAGTGGTTTTTGCCATACATTGACATGAATCAGCCATGGATTTACATGTGTTCCCCATCCTGAATCCCCCTTCCACCTCCCTCCCTAAATACATCTGTCTTAATGAAGAATTGACTCTGGGGGTGGCGGCAGGGATGTTGAAAATTCTTATATCCCTGATGTTAGCCTGAGTTCTGAAGAAACATCTTCTTTGTACTTATTTAGATCCTTCAAGGCATTTTTCCCGCTCCTTAGCAACTTCTCTCAACCAGAGGTTCAGCTCTGGGCACTATGGGCCATGTATCATGTCTGCAGTAAAAACCGTATGTATTTAAAAATAACCATTTTTTAGCTATTTTTTTTTGTATAAGGATTAAGTTCAAGATGGAATTTTGAAAAATTGTTCTCTTATGTCCTGATTTTAACACTTTTTACGAAGAAACTAAAGAGCTTTTGTATTAGTATAAAAAATGCTACAGAATTATAATTTATTTGGGGATGGGTGGTAAGCAATACAGAAAGTGAAAGTGTGCTCCCGCTCCTATTCCCCACAGGCAAGCACTGTTTATTAGCTGCCTATAACTGTCCTTCCAGGTAATTTTCTGTATATATGCTATAGTTATTATATGCTGTACATGCATATGTTTTTAGACAAAATGGGCTCATTCTGTGCGTGTTATCTTATAGCTTTCTCTTTTTCACTGAATAGTTTATCATAATACTATCTTTCCTATAAGTAATACATAGATTTGCCTCTTTGTAGTGGTTTGTGGGAGACTGGGGGGCCAGATGTCAGGAGTTGTTTCTCAGGCAAATTAAATGTTCTTCCACATTTGTTGCTTTAAATTCCTCTTGGGAATTCTTGGCTTTTTTTCTTTGCTAAGGAATACTACTAAAATTTTTGCTTGTATTATAAAAGAATTATAGACTTTAATTCTGTATAAAAGAATTAAAGAATTTGTATTATAAAAAGAATTATAGACTATAATTTCATGCTGAAAAATCTAAAGGTATAACTTTTAGAATTAATGAAATGTTTAACTATCAAAAGTATAAACTATCTTAAAATAGCTTTAACAAGTATTGGGACCAATGTGCAAAAAAATCTAGGAAATAATTTATAGACTGAAATAATTATGGACATATTATACTCCTCAGTTCTTTTCTATTCACATATATAATACAGTTCAAGTGAATGAGTACAGTCAGTGATGAGGAATCTGAAGGTTATTCTAAAGCTAAAGTGGCAGAATAATTAGGAAAGAACTGATAGAGAAAAATGGTTTTTAGGAGCTTGCCCTAACACTTCTCTTTATTTTTGGCTACACCCACAGCATGTGAGATCTTAATTCCCCCAGGAGGTATTGAGCCCGGGCCCCTACAGTGCAATCTTGGAGTCCTAACCAGTGGACCACCAGGGGAAAACACACACACACACACACACACACACTGTATATATTTAGCAAAGATGCATCTATCTGGTGATTAAGAGAACAGACCCCAGAACCAGACTATTTGAACTTTACTCCCTTTCTCCATTTACTAACTGTGGGAGCTTGAGCAAGTTACTTAACCTTTCTGTGCCCCAGTTTCCTCATCTGTAAAATGGGGATCCAAGTACCTGTTCTATAGGACTGTCATGAGAATTAAATGAGTTAACATTTGCAAAGCATATAAACATTGCTTGGCTTATAGTATTAGCATTTGCACATAGCATACTATTAGTGCAAGCATAGTACACAGTATTTGTTAAATACATCACTTTATGAGTATAATCTGCAGAGCTGAGTCAAAATATTATGAATGTTTATAATTTTGGTGGGTATTGTTAAATTGTGTTCCAGAGAGTTGATTACCGGTTTGCATTCCCATCAGCAATATATGAGAGCTTGCAGTTTCCTTTTATTCTTGCAAAAACTTTTTAGTTGAATTTTTGATCTTTGCCAATCTGAGGTGAAAGTGATTCTAACTTGACATTTATTTTAAGTAAGGTTAACTGTCTTTTCTTACATTTGGATTGTCTGTTGGTTTCTGTTGCTTGCTTTTTGTTTACTGTTTTTTTGATCTTTTTCTTTTTAATTTGAAGGAACTCTTCCAAATATTTTTTTCCAGTGTATTGTCTTGATTTTATTCATTGTTTTTGCTAGTCATTATTTTGTTCTGTGGCCTCTGGATTTCAGATCATGGTTATACCTTACAAAATTAATGAACATTTTCAGAAATTTTCTTTGAAAATATTACCTTCCAGCTATTCTATTCCTTTCTTACAACATTTATCAGAAATATCTTATACCTTCTCTCAATCAGTCCTACATATCTTGTAACCATTACAAAGAAAAAGTATCCATGTCTTTGTTTCTTTTTACTGCATTCTTGGTTGTCTTGTTGTGTGTTTTTTTTCTTTTTAAGATTTTTATTGATATGGACCATTTCAAACTCTTTATTGAATTTGTTACCATACTGCTTCTGTGTTTTTTGTTTTAATGTTTTGTTTTTTTGGCCATGAGGCATGTGGGAATCTTAGCTCCCCAACCAAGGATCAAACCCACGTCCCCTGCATTGGAAGGCAAAGTCTTAACCACTAGTCTACCAGGGAAGTCCTTTGAATGTGTTTTGGATCAGGATTTCTGTGTTTACCTGACTGTTGCACTGATTAAGAGAATCCTTTTCAGACTGAGTTGTGGACATGTCCCTTTAGTACAGTTTTGTATTTGCTTCTGTCAAGTGTTCTGGAGGTTTTCCTGGGATTGATCTAATCCTTATATTAATTTCTCAGCTCAAGGATTCCAAGAACATTTAGGATAGTATAAATTCAAACCCTGTACCAACTTGGGACTCAGGAAAGACTTCTCCCCAGAGCCCAGGCCAAGATAGAGATGTTTCATTGTCTTATCCCTTGTCTTGTCTGGCCTTTTTGAGGGGCCAAATTTATGCATTATTTTTGCTTCTGACTTCCTAAGTTAAAATCGAATTTCCTAGATTACTGAAACTGACAGTCCCTTTCTACTCCAGAAAAGTTACAGGTGAGGTTACATGAGCTTTAAGTGTTTTTTGTTTTGCTCTTTGTGTCTGACTCCACACTCAACCATGAATTAAAATTTTTTTCAATTATATTTTATCCAACCTCTGGTGTTTTTAGGTTGTCTAGCTCAGCATACTGCCTGAACATGAAACTTTTATTATTTTTGTAATAAAAGTTATTATATCCTTTTAGCTAGAGATATTTGAAGCATAGAGTTGTCTGGAAATAAACTTAAAAAATAATCATCCGTTATCAAATTGCACAAGCCAAGCATTATTGGCATCTTAAAAATGATGAATGTGGTAATTGGGAGTATTTAAAACACCAACTTGAACATAAGGTTTCTTTGCTTGATTTTCTTTCAGCCAGCAAATACTGCAAAATGTTAGTTGAAGAAGAAGGATTGCAGCTTTTGTGTGACATCCGGGAGCACAGTGAGGCAGACCCCCAAGCACAGCAGATTGCAGCCTCCATTGTAGATGACTTCAAAATGCATTTTATGAATTACCAGAGACCCTCTCTTTGTTGAAGGCCCTTCTTAAGCTCAGGGCCTCAGAGGTGCTGCATCTTCGGTATCAGCCCTTCTGCTGTATCAGCAATTAAGTATTGGATTGAAACAAGTTGTCGTTGGAGTTTGTGAGCTGAACGCCTTGTTGGCCTTTTTGGGTATGATTTTCTGTAAGTTATAAGAAGTTTGGATTTGTGTGATAGCCATAATCTCAAATCAGGCTGGAATCATTCTTGGAATACCTTTTCAGTAGTTTTGAAAAATCAAGCCCTGGACTCTGTGGGAAGACCTGTAAGCTTTTGTTAGAACAGCTATGCCAGTTAATTTTCTCTAGCCCTGACCAATTTCTTAACTGAGTATTTGTCAGAGGAAAGAAAAAAAGGAATACCTATGGAGGACCTCAGTATTTATGTTAAATTTCATGGTTGAAAGAATCTCCTAAGTTGTTATTCCTGGCTATATGAGGCTTTTGGAAAAGAAATGCATGAGAGTTCTAGGAAACATGTGTGTTTAAATGTATTGTTTGGAAGGCAGAACCTCTGTTGGAGGGAATGGAAAAAAATTTTTTTAATACATACCAAATTACCTTCCACTCATTGGGTAGAGTAAAGAGAAATACATTTTTATGATTTTTGGATAGTCTACCTTTGACCTTTTTTCCTCCAACTTTACACATTAGACTGAATGAGCATAACAACATTGTGGGTAATTGGGTGTGCTGGTGGGGCATGGTCATAGGACTGACAAGTGTTTAGATGAAAGATTATATGGCGAGTATAAATCTCAATCCCTCAGATTTTTAATTTTCCAAAACTGAGAGGAAAAGGAAGGACTGTGCCAAAGATTTAAAGAGGGGTTCTTTAAAAAAAAAAGGTGCTCTTACCTACCTTGGATGAGAAAAATAACGAGCTTTTCTGAGAACCAACCTCAACCCCAGTATAAGCTATGAGAGGCGCTTGTGTCCTCTGCAAACCTGCTCTATGGAATAAAGTCCTTCCTTACCTTATTATTGGCAACCAATGAAACATGTTAAGCCATTCATCTAAATTTTTCGAAGAAACAAAATTTTTTTTAATTGGTAGCTTATTTTAGGACTAGATTTTTACACTGTAAGCTGGCCAGATTCTTAACTGGAATGTGCCATATCATCTTTTGAAATCAAATGAGGTTTATTCTTATTCTAGATTGTTTTTTCAAACTATTGCTCACTGGTGTCCCACTGGATAAGGGGAATTTGTGACCTTCCTTTAACAGCCCTGAAACTCCACAGATATAATCATTCATTCTTCTGCATGATTCTAAAAACATGTCTTAGTTTCCTGACCTGGGTTCCATATGTCAGAACATGTTGTTGCCAGATACTAGTTTGGGCTGATGTGAGGAAGATGAGTGGGAAATAGTGCCTGTTGAGGTCCAGTTCAGCACTGGGCACCTCTGTACATTTTCTCTGATTTTCAACAGTCCTCTGGGATAGTTTTATTCTCCCCATTTAACAGGTAAGAAGAAGGGAGTACAGCAAGATGGTTATTTTCCTGAGTAGACAAATACTGCTCATGTGGTTGGTGCTGATTCCTAAGACTTGGGTTCTTGTCTTACCTTCCCTTCCAGGAAATGAGTACAGCTTTGAGGCACATTTGTTTTTAACAGCAAGTCAACAATGTTACTTGTCTGTGTCCATGCCCATGCCCGTGGTTCAGTAACTCCTGAGCCTGCCCAGGCACAGGCTTAGGAAGCTCAGATCAGTTAAAGATGACCACATGTCTCTTGCCCTGCCTTGGCATCGGAGGAGGGCTGCTGAGGCTGTGTGCACATGTGTGTATCAGCCCCCCTTTATTTCAAAGTGCCATCATCTTGCTTACTTTTTTGCTCGTGCTGTTCCCCTCAGTTTTCCTCTTCTTTGCCTCCATTGCCTGTTCGATCCTTCAGGCTTCAACTGCAGTATTACCTGTCCATTTCTTAATCTCCCATGTTGTCCACCTGAGTTAATCATTCCCTTCTCAGGGCTCCTGAAAGTTATTAAATGCACCATCAGAGATTTGCCTGCCACCCTACAGTTTACAAAAGGTTTTCACAGCAGTGATTTCACCTGGTTCTTAAAAGAACACTGTACATTAATCATAACTCATGTTTATAGAACATCAGGTATTTTATTATTATTATTTTTTAATCCTCACAACAGGTTCATTGTAGTTGAGGAGGCTGAGGCAAACAGTGAGTAACTGGCAGAGAGCTGAGTCTATTCAACCACAGCCAAGGTTTCCTTATTATCTCTGTTGTACTGAGGAAGAAACGGCCGTTGTGGGGTGGTTCTCACAAGCCTCTTTCCATCTCTGGTGAGCGCCTAATAACCGAGACGCAGAAGTCAGGCTTGAGTGCCAGTGCTATAAAGGCCCAGAGGGGTCTGTTTTATCCTTAGTTTATCGTTCTATTAGGGAGAGACAGGTATGCTCCAAAGCAAACCCGACTCCAGTGATGAGCTCGCCTGGCTGAGGAGTAATGAAGGGAGCAGTAGGTGGCATAGTCAGCATGCTAGTACCAGGCACCATGCCAATCATTTCCTATCCATCATGTTCTTGTGAGGAAACTGGAACCCAGAGAGGTGAAATGATGAGGGCAGAGGTGCCGCACATCTTCCTTCTGGATCCTGTTCTGTAAGGTGTGCTTCTCCCTTGCTTCAGGTTAAATGGAGGTCACTCGCCAACAAATCTGGGGAGGCGCTTCTCCCTGAAGGCAGCCATGCCTTCCAGCCGATCCCGGGTTGGGATGTTCTGAAACAACATACCGAGTATCAGTTTGCAGAGACAGGTCCAGAAACCAGTAAAGACTTGCTCAAGGTTGTTCAGCCCACGGTGAGGCTGGAATCCAAGTCTCTCACTGTCTCTGGGCTCTGGTGTTGGGTCACGCGGGCCTTGGTGGCTCCTTGGTCTCCTCACACCAGACTGTACTTGTGCACAGTGTACGTGCGTCTGAGAGCCCACAGTCTCATTCACAGTCTGAAATGAGGCTACTCGGTAGAAAGCAAAGACTAGGCTTTGTGGTAAGAGCTGTGGCTTTGAATCCTGGTATACAGTTGGTTCACATCAGGTTCTACAAGTTCCCAAACCCCCGTTTAGGAGGAGTTTTGTTACTTGTTAGCCTGGAGATTAATGTTTTTGACTCACTAAGGAGTAAAGGGCTAAATAGGTCAGCCACAGTTTATTGTCCCACCATCGAGCATACACAACCTGTAGGCAATAATCAAGGCCTTGGCATCCTCCAGCCTGGGCTTTAGGCTGGTACAGCCTGGCCTGTACCAGTAGCCACTGGTAAAGGGAACTCAGAAGCTGTTATTCTTCTGTCAGGTTCCTCTGTGATTCTCTGGGCAGCAAAGTAGGGCAGGGTACAGCACCATTAGGTGGCTGAGGAAACAGTCCCAGAGAGTGCTCTGAGGCTCCCCTGGGATCAGTGCAGGCTGACTGTGAGGAAAGGAGTGCCGCAAAGACCGACTGTGTGGGTTGGGAGGAACCTATTCAATTGATCATGTACTAATAGTACCCAAGGACCCTACTCTGGCCCGGCCTCTGCTTACAGGCATGCAGGACTGGCAGCAGACACATACCTGGGCATAGCATATCCCTTCAATGGCCATCCCTGATGCAATGTCCACCTGCAAGAAAGAAGTGGTGCCTGGATCAGCCTTGCCCACCTCCATGTGCTCTGGGCACCAGTTCGCCTACTTCCTACTGTTTCCTGGATTCTTCCAGCAAAGAACTAACCGAGGCTTACTGTATGCCAACCCATATGAAGAGAGATGATGTGGTAAGGAATCCCTTACTGGAGAGGGAACACCATTCATTACAGAGGTGAAGCAGTGCTGGGATGAATGGGGGCTGTGAGAACAACAGGGAGGATTACAAACAGCCTTAGAGATGAGGAGGGAGTGTGTGAGCTGTGCTTGCACAGCCATTGTTCCCTCCTTCCCCACCTGGCTGCCTCACCATGCCTCCTGTCACCCCCATTAATGAACTTTGCTGGCTTTCCATTGCCCTCAGAACTAAGGCCTGCATGACTTGGCCCCTGGCAACTTCCCAGTCTCCACTGTCCACTGCTTGCTATTACTCACTTAAAGGCACTATTGTAGAGAAGTACTGTTCATAGCAGCAGTTATTTTCCCTACTACACAGCTGAGAAATCTGAGGCATAGAATGGTGGAGTGATTTGTGTAAGGACACAATAGTGTATGGAAAAACAGGTCTTGGAACCCGAATGGTCCAGCACCAGGGCCCATGCACCTAACCTTACTGCTGTGCTGACTCACTCATCCCTTCCTCCTGTTCAGTTGAGTTGCTTCTTTATACACCTCTGTGTTTTCTCTCACACTTTCCAGTTTTTCTGGAATTCTTATCCAGCCTAAACCCCAATTCTAGAAAACATTCTCCAACCCAGCACTGTCCAGCCCTGTACCCAGGAGCCCCATGGATGGTGCAGCTCTGCCCTCTCCAGGCTGTCTGCTTGGTACTCTTGACTTTTTATTACTGATTTGTATCAGTCTCTCTCCCCACCTTGGGGACAGTGACCATATTTGATTCATTCCGGTGTCCCAGTTCAGATCTAGGTGTAGTGTATGATGAATGAATAAGTCGATGTGTAGAATAGCTGCAGCCAAGTCAGCATGCCTCAGCCCCGTCTGTGAGGCCACAATACTGACCACCAACATAATCCTGAGAACATGGACCGATAGCCATGCAGACCTGGGTTTTTGTGACTCATTTGTTCTGTGACCCTGGGTCAGTCATTTACCCTTCCTGGACTTCAGTTACCTTCTCTCTCCAAAGGAGAGAAATGAGGATAAAATATAATTTGGAGTATCACCTGGCCAAACTTCATTTTTTAGATGGGTAAAACTAAGGCACAAAGAGAGAGGTCAGGCTCAGAGTCTGTAGGAAGAGCCCGATTCCTGAGTTCTTTCCAGCTGTGCTGCCCATCTGTGTGCCCTGAAAGCACTGCCTCCCAGCCACCCCACTGACCTTAGCAGACGCTAAGTTCCGACCCAGAACCCTCTCACCTCTATTCCTCGGTCAATGGCAACTTTGCTCAGCCGCACAGCGATGGGGGCCTAGGGAAAAGCAAGCACTTGGTTGAGGAGGGGATCAGTTGTGCCCACAGTTAGGCACACAAGCTCCATGATGGCGGAAGGGGTCTGGGTAGAAATCCAGCTATTCTAGTGACAGCGTTTACTTTTGTTAGTGTTATACCTACTAATTAGCTGATGTTCCTTTTCAATAAGGTGAAGGAAGCCTAATTGATCCCTAATCCTCCTAGTCCTGACCATCTGGAATTCTTGTCATTTAATACATCCCATCAGCATGTACAACATACTCCACTGTACACATGCTTTCCCACCTACAGATTTGTCTAATGGTCACAGGCTGCTCCCCATCCCTTCAGGATGGGTTTAATTGAGGCTCAAGGTGGTGAAACACTTGGCCACATTTGTCCAGTGAGTCAGTGGTGAAGCTTAGATCTGATTCCCAGTCACCTTTCCCACTGCTGCTCCCTTCTCTACCCCTCTCATCTCAACAAATTCAAACCTCCACTGAAAGCATGTTTTACCCCAGTAGGGTGAAAAAAGGTCAGTATTAGGAACTTGGACTTTGGACTCTGGCAGGCCTGGATCGAAATCCTGAGGGGTATTTTGTAGGGCCACTTGGAAGCAGGAGCACCAAAGTGACCATCTTTGCCTCCCTGGTCTTGCTTCTAGTTATTTTGTGCCACTGCAGGTCTGGCTCTCCATCCCCCACTGCATTTCCAGGCAAGGAGTGCGTTTGCCTCCTATTTTGTTCATATTGTATTATTTGAAGGTTTTGTAAGACTTTATCAGGAAAAGAACAATTTAAAAAGTCTGTTAGCATGGAAACCATAAATGAAAAAACTAGCTACATAAAGATAAAAGAACTTCAGACTGGGAAAAATACCACAGATTCAAGCAAAAATCAAGATCTGGGAGACTATATTTGTGATACTATGACAGAAACATTTCCTTTACAAAAAGCTGGTGTGTGTGTGTGTGTGTGTGTGTGTGTGTGTGTGTGTGTGTGTGTGTGTGTATTTAGCATTCACACAGTATGGAAAGCTAGTTCACAAAAAAGAAAAAAAAGACACAAGGTGTGCTCAGCTTTACTTTTAAAGAAACATAAATCAGAACAGTTAGGTGTTCCTTTTCACCTCACAGTTGGAAACTGTAAAAGGTTGGTAATGACCATTATTGTTGAGAAGTATTTGCACATATAATTGAATGGAGAGTAAACTGGAACAATGCTTCAAGAGGACAGTTTGACAAGAACTGGCAAATTAGATAGATGCCCATGCTCCTTCATGTTGTAACTCCGTGTAGGCATCTACCCTATAGATTCACTTCCAAGAGTACACTAAGATGTACAAAGTTAATCACTCCAGTTATTTTTCAGGAGCATAAAGATGTCAGTAATGTGAATGTTCCTCATTAGAGTACTGGTTAAATGATGGCACATCCATACCATGAATGAAAAAGTATGCAGTTTAAATGAATGAGGTTGATATGTATATGCTGAAATGGGTAACTCTCCCAACATATTAGGTGAAAAAAGGAAGCTGCATAGTGCTGTATATATTATTCCATTTGTGTAGAAGGTATTGGTATGATGTATCTTTGGGGAGAAGGGAAAAGAGAATGGAAAACTTCACTTTTTGTTTTATACTTTTCCATACTTATTGAATTCTTTTCTGTGCATAGTTTGTTTTTAAACGTCAGTTAGAACTGGACTAGCCTTTAAAGGTGTGTACTTTGTCCCCTAGATTATCCTAAAGGAATTTAGGATTAGATATGTGATAATATGTGCATATTTTACATGTACAATGAAAATTTCTGGAAGAGTGTGCAAACTGTTAACAGTGGTCATCTGTGGGGAGAGTGACTGGGGAACTGAGGAATGTTTTCGTGACCCAAAACATTTTGTCTTTTTGCCAGTGACTGAGTGTTGTTTTAGGATGTGGGACTTTTCACTTTGAACCTGGACAGCCCCAGGATAACAGGATCACCCTACTTTTGATTTTTACTCTATGTCCTTCTTATTCTTCTATCCTATTTGATTTGTTTGTCATGAATATGTATTATTTACTGATTTCTCATCGGAGAAAAATTAAAAACTATATAGCCATGTTGTCTCTGTGTTGAAAACACACATATTTATGTTTCTGAGTGTGTGTGTACAAAAATGTAGTTGACCCTTGAACAACCCAGAGCTTGGGCAAACCAACCATCCATACAGTAAAAAATCTACACAGAACTTAACAGCTAACCCTCCCTGTAAAGAGTTCTACATCCACAAATTCAGCCAACCTTGGATCATGTAGTAATGTAATTAGTATGTATTTAGTGAAAAAAAAATCCATGTATAAGTGAACCTTAACAGTTCCAACTTGTGTTGTTCAATGGAACACTGTGTGAAGTAGGTCAGTTAGAAATATGATGGATCATTTTGAAAAAAAAAGAAAGAAATATGATGGATCATTTTGTTATTTGGAAATGAGTGTCACAGTTGCCACAGGATGTTCCGTTCCTTTGATGTTCAAATGGAAAATGTATTCAAATCCATATTCAAAGGGTAAAGTATATTTACTGTTTAAAGGGAAAATCTGAGTGTTAATTTGTGGACCTTGTGTTTATTGATAGGCTCTTTGGGGCTGTAATCTCTGGAGCAATTTGACTGGCCTGCTCTTGGTAATATGTCCACTAGAGGGCAGCTGTCTACAACAGCATCTCTTGCACTCAACCCATAGGAAATCTTTTCATACTTGGCACTCAGTAACTCATTTGGAAGTTAAACAGGTTGCATCAGAATGTCCCAGCATTTGCATTAGTGATTCTAATACTAGTTTTTGGTAGGCTGTTGTTTTGGTATAGAAAGCTACTTTTAAATACTGAAATACTAGTAATTAGTAAAATACCATTATTTCAATATGTTGAAAAGTCAGAAGCCTGAATCTTGAGACCAAGCTCAAAGACCTTGTTATTTATTTTATGCAAAATGACAAACCCTAGAGTCTACAATAGGCCCCTCAATCTGTGGAAGTGTAATTAGCTACCACCCTGAGTCACTCAGAGTTTTGTTATCAGTTCAGACTTTCTGACCAAATAAAAGAGAAACACGACAGCATTAAAAGGAACAGCATCAGACTCTCCATTTATGTGACGAAACTATAAACAGGAAATGAAGACAAAACAAATGCTTTTAAACCAAATTTACCATCAGTTTTTTATGGTCCTTACCCTCAAGTAACTAAGCAAGCAAGTAAGTAAAGATCTCAAAGTTATAAAAAGAGGCAGGATTATTTGAGGGAGATTTTTTTTCCCCCTAAATAAGATAAGTCTTTTTTACTTTTCATGACTAATTCAAATACTTTTCTGTGTTAATATTAAAATGATACAGTATGGTTAACAATATTATATTTGACTTTTGTAACATGTCTTTAATTTTTTGTATTTGAAATCCATTAAAGATTTAGTTTGTTCTTTGAAAATTTTGTACATGTTCTGCACTCTTTAAAATACTAGTTATTATATGTATTTCTGTATTAATGCAGAATGAATGCTAAAATAGTGTCTGTCTTTGTGGTATTATTGCAGTCACTTTCTTTGACTTTGATGAGCAGTCACTTAACCTTGTTGGGTCTGTTACAGCACAGACACGACAGGGATAATCACCCCAATTGTTTGGATTGTTCTAACACTGGGACACTATTAAAATACCTAGGACTGTTTGTGTCTGAAGGATGAGGGTGCACCATATGGATTCAGTCAGTATTACAACTTAACACAACCTGGCTCCATTTCAGCTGCTTGCCTGTTTTTATGGAAACTTGGGACCTCCCTCTGTTAGAGAAGTGAGAAGCCAGTGGAGCCTCTCGGATACTTGGAGATTACTGTAGGCAGGGCCTAACCCACTCCCTGGGTATCTAAACATTTGGGGAGACTATATGTTAATAGGCTATTTGATGATTTAAAAAAAAAATGTATGGGTCTTAACATATGTCCTACATCATGCATTTCAAGTGCTTTTCCACCATGTAGTATGTATGGAGAGATGGGCTGGTAGTTCTTTATCTGTTTTAAAGAAACTTGCATTTTCAATTTTGGGACATATTAATGCTCTACTGTCCAATACAATAGCCAATAGCCACATGTGTCTATTAGCATTAAAATATGGGAACTATAATTGAGAAATTAAAACTTTAAGTAATGTGGCTAGTGGGAATTCCCAGGTAGCTCAAGGGTAAAAAACTGCCTGGCAAGCAGGAGCCTTGCGTTCAGTCCCTGGATTGGGATGATCCTCTGAAGAAGGATATGGTAGTCCACTCTAGTATATTTGCCTGTAAAATACCATGGACAAGAGGAGTCTGGTGGGCTACAGTCTGTGGGGTCGCACAGAGTAGGACATAGCAAAAAAATGTGGTTAGTGGGCGCCTTAGTGGATGGCATAGATAGAGATCATTTGCATCATCTCAGGAAGTTCTGTTTTACAGGCTGTTCTGAGGATTTTCAAGCTTAATTGATCCCAGCCTCTCAGAACTCAATTTTCACTTTGACTTAAAATCTGATTTAGTATTATTTACTAGATGGCTGAATGGAGGCAAAACCACCAAAGACAGTTAATTTTCTAAATCTGGGGAAATGGATCTTGTGTTGCATGAGACGCCCTTGCCCCCTGGCCGCCCCTCCCGTGACCCCAGTGGCTCAGGCCCACCCGCGCCAAACAGCAGTCGCACCTGGGGCAGGATCTCCTGGGCCAGGGCTCGGGCCCGGTGGTAGGCGGCGTTGCCCTCCTCATTCTGGGCCACAGCGTGGTTCACCAGCCCCAGAGCCTGGGCCTGCGCCCCACTCAGTCGTCGGCCCGTGAAGATGAGCTCCTTCGCCAGGGCCACCCCCAGGCATCGAGGCAGCCTCTGAGTCCCTCCTGCCAGGATGGAGTAGGGGTGGTGAATCCTCATGGGACATGGGGGCCCAGAGGAGGCCCTGGCTGGGAGTCAGCCAAGACCTCTCAGAGGACGAGATTGGGTTAGGCTGGTGGGGAAGAGCCC